AGGGCAGTCCTTGGGACCTCCCCCGACCCCAGGTGGGTCCTTTTGATTTCAGGGTGGTCTCTGAGATTGATAGGGGAAAACGCTTCCTCTGATACAGGAGGATGTAGGGCTGCTCCCGGAGTTGGGCAGAGGAGGGTTAAGCAACCAGAGAAATGCTACCTGAGATCTTGGGCAGCCACATTCAGTGCTGAGGAGCTGGCTTAGTGGCACAGTGAGTTCTCCTTGGGTCTCCGTCTTCACATGGCCTTCTTATAAAGACACCAGTCACTGGATTTAGGGCCTACCCTAATTCAGTGTGACCTCATTTTAATTTCATTACATCTACAAAGACCCTATTTCCAAATCAGGTTATGTTCACAGGTTAGGACTTCAACATATCTTTTTGGGGGACACTATTCAACCCACAACAATCCTCAATGAGGAAAGAACATTCTGGTCAGAGGAGAAGAGCAAAAGCAGAGGCCCTGAGGCTGCCCAGGGTAGATTACCCTCTGAGCTGCCCGCTGCTCTCCTGGGGCTTATCTCCAGCTCATCTCGGTTCCTGGTACCTGGCAGCTGCCTAAACAGCCAGGAGGGAGGTGACCCTCTGGATATCAGGCCTTCCCAGGCTTCTCCTTCCAGCTGACCCTGCCCAGCCTGGGGACTCAGGAGAGCCCAGCCTGCCTGTCCCTCCTCCCCCTGCCTGCCTGGTCCCCACCCCCACCCGCATCCCACATGCACAACGGACAAGGATAATAGAAGCTATTTCACAAGCAGGTGGTGATTAATCGCCAAGTTAATTAAAGAGGCAGTAATGATGCTCGGATTTCAGAGGAAGGAGAAATGTCTTGGGCAGGGGTGGGTGGTCAGCTGAGGTCTCCCTAAAGAGGTGGGGCCGGAAGATAGAAAGGATTTGAAAAGATGGGGAAAAAAAACAAGTAACATTTTTTAAAAGTGGGTGCTTCAACCATCGCTATGGTGTTTTATTTGACGGTCAGGCTGAGATGTTCAAGCTCGTCTCTATACTTTTCCATGTCTTTGAAATATTTCATTAACAGTAACAACGAAAAAAAAGGCAGGGGGAAGCTTAAGTATTTCTAAACCCCAGTTTGGGATTTATAAATGGCCTCAAATACCAGTGTGCCCCACTTTACACAATGGAGAGGGCCTTAAAATCATGTGTAAATCGAATCCCGTTTGCCCACCCGGTACATCTTAGCACCAGCCATGCTCTATCTTCATTTCTGATTGATTTTCCCTGGCAGAGGCACAGAATTCTTTGCTTTAAGTGTCAGGCTCTCTCCGTCAAGTAGTTAATGACCTATAAAGCACTTAAAACATGCTGGAGGAGACGCTCTTGGAGGCACCCCGTGGTTTACCCTCTTCTATTGTCAGTAATCACCCCTCATTTATTTCCTCTCATTGGTTTGGAATTTGCTATCAGCTTTCCCTAAAGTGGAGCCCACCAGGAAAGGTCCAATTCCCTGTGGGCCTGGATGGGTGCTGGAGTTGCACCCAGGGGCAGCAGCAGCAGGTAAGGAAGGCAAGGTCCCTTTCCTCAAGAGCCCTGGTCACCTCTTGGCTCACCTTCCCTAACTCCCTCATACCTACTGCAGCTGTGGCCACCATGGCCTTCCCAGTTTCTCCCCACCACCTGTCTACCGCCTCCACCTGTCTCTTGAGTCCTGACCCATTCTCTTGGCTGCCTTCAGAACACCTCCCCCTGGTTGCCGCCTGGATTTCTCCCCACATTGCTGCTCCACTCCTGTACTTCTGGTGGTGTTTACTGAAACCAGCCTCGGTCTACTGGATGGGGGCATGGACATCCCTTCACCCAGACACCTTGACACCAGCAGGTCACCAGGTCTTCTTGCCTCCCCCTCCCCAAAGTGGCTCTAGAGTCTGGTCTCCTGCCCCAACCTCCGCTTTCTCGACCCCAGTCCCAGCCCCTAAGCTTGTGCCTATCTCAGCGGCCTCCAAATGGAACAGGCCGCTCTCCCCAGAGCCACTCACTCAAGTTGCCTCCTAAAGAACAGTTTAGAGGATTTTGTTTTGTGGCTCTCCGACCTCCGTGTGCGTCTCAGGCCTCAGCCTGCTGTCCAAACCCCTCCACAGCTTGGGCCTGGCGTCATCTCCCCAGGCTGGCCCCAAGCACCTCACCTTTCCAGCCATCTCGCTCCTTCTGTCTTCAGGCTTTTGGTTATGGTATTCTCTCCCCGGGGAGCCCTCACCCTTCAAGGTCCTGTCTTCCGGAAAGCTAGGCAACTTTGCTCAGGCAGAGTTACCACCCTCCTTGGAGCTCCCACAATGCATTTCCCCTGGGTTCCTGTGTCTGCCTGCCTTCTCACTCATCCAGGGACATTTATTGAGTGTCCACTGGGAGAGGAGTTGTTGGGAGCATCAGCTCTGGAATTAGACAAGTCCAGGTTCAAATCCAGTGTTTCCTCTTGCCAGCTGGGTGAGCTTGGGCATTCACTGCCCCTCTCTGAGGCTCGGTTTCCTTCTCTGCCATGTCCCAGAGCTGGTGCCTGCGCTTGGGCAACTGGAGGAGGACGCCAGCCTGGCGAGGTCAGCGCTGGGAGTGAGAAAAGAGGCCCAGGGTTGGGAGGAGCACAGAGGCCCTGGCAGCAGCAGCCTCCAGGGTCAGAGCTGTGAGGGGGCATCCACAAGGTGCACGGAGCCAGCTGGGCCACTGGCTGGGGGTCTGGGAGGCTGACCAGGCTGTTCCAGGAGGGAAAGTGCATCAGTTTTCTGGGGCTGCTGCCACCAATTACCACAAACTTGGGCCTGAAACAGTACATGTCTATTCTTACAGTCCCGGAAGCCGGAAATCCACCACCAGTCTCAGGGGCCAAGACGAAGGGGTTGGCAGGGCTACGCTCCCCACAGAGGCTTTCAGGAGACAGTTTCCTTCCCTTTCCAGTGGCTAGGGCTGCTTTCCTTGGCTCATGGCCCCATCCTCCATCTTCAAAGCCAGCAGTGTAGCATCTTCAAATCTTTTTCTCTGCTTCCATTACCACACCGCCTTGCGCCTTCTGTCTGTAACCTCCCTCTGCATCCCTCTCACAAGGACCCTTGTGATTGTAATAATCCAGGATAATCTGTCCATCTTAGAACCCTTAATCACATCTGAAAGGTCTGTGCCGTATAAGGTAACATTCACAGGGTCCAGGGATCAGGATGTGGACGTCTTGGGGTTGGGGGGAGCCGTTACTCAGCCTACTGCAGGAGGCAGCTGAACAAAGAGCCTCGGATCATGGGTTCTGAAGTCACTTCTGGGGCTTGAATCTCAGCTGCACCATTTGCCAGCAGTGTGGCCTTGGGCGAGTTGCTACGTCTCTCTGATACTCAGTTTCCTCATCTATAAAATGGGAACAGTGCCTAGCTCCAGATAAGAACTCAGTAGGTATTTAAGTATCTATTAGGCAGAAGGAGCTGCATGTTCCAGAGCCTGGAGGTTACGAGAGACCCCAGAAGGCCCTTTCTGTAGGAGGGAAGGAGGAAGGGCAGGAAAGGGGACAGGGCAGGGCAGGCTGGGGTGGAGGACAGAGCTGGGCCAGGTCCCAGGAAAGTGTGTGTGCATGCGTGCGCGTGTACTCTGCCCTGGGGGTAGTGGACAGAGGACACAGACAGCATTTAAACAGGGCATTTTTTGTTTCACCTTATTGAGATATAATTCACATACCATAAAACGTACCATTTTAAAGTGTACAATTCAGTGGCTTTTAGCATATTCACAAGGTTATGCAACCATTACCGCAATCTAACTCCAGAACATTCCCCCATAAAGAAACCCCACACCCATCAGCAGTCATTCCCACTCCCCCATGGCAGGGCAGGTTTTAGGACAGAACATCCTAAAGCTCTCTTCAATCTCCCAGTCCAGGCTCGAACCCAGAAAGAGGACAGCGGCAGCACGAGCACTGAGATGTGGGGCTGGAGTGCTGCTGAGGGGCCCTCCCAGCTTCCTCATTTTATCCAGAAGCAGAGGTGACCATCGCACAGGCTGAGCGAGGCTGAGGTGCGGAAGCTCAGGGCTCGCTGTGTGTCACCACAGCTACCATTTCTAGTTCTGGACCTGGTCACTTGGCTCCGGAGTCTGCCTCCTGCCTGGGACTCACCTACACAGACATATCCTAACAGGTCAGGGGGGCCAGCAGCTCTCCTCGCACCACGCCCGACACATGGCACCCCAGGGCTCCCCACCTCCCACAGGAGGCAGCAGGCTGTGGGGGCTGCTGGAGGAAGGTGGGGGGCATTGGAAGCTGGGTCCTGCCTGGTTCCCAGAGAGGCCAAAGTAGGGGACCTTTTTGAGGCCTGAGCAGCCCTGAGCCTCCCCTACCGATCCAGCCACTCTTGAGGTGGCTGTGACCTGGCTGGGACATGAGGGACCCACAAGGGGCTTCTACAGTGCTCCCACCTTGCACCCGCTGCTGGGCTCAGTCCTGCTGGCTGCTTGGAGGGTCTCGGGCCCCGTGTGGTCAGGGCTGTCTGGCCTAGCCTAGAGGCAGCTGAAGCAGGAGGGAAGGCCAGCTGGTGAGGCGAGGGACAGCAGTCGGGACATTGCTGAGTCGGCCGAGGCAACCTCTGGCAGTGACAGGGGCTTCTGGGATCAATTAGCAGAACCACCCTACCAGGACTTGCTGCTCCTGATGCATACTCCACAGACACGTGTCATCGATCGGAGCCTCTGACAGCCTCAGCAGCCAGGAGGTGAAGCCAGGGGCTGTGGCTGGCCTTTCTCAAGTGTCTGGGCCTCGCCTCCAAGAGCTCACACAGAGCCTGCCCCTTCCCATCAGGCGGCAGGCGCTGGCCTTCCAGAACCTTCCAGAACCTTCCAGAACCTTCCAGAACACGTTCCTTGCCTCGCCTCTCTTGGTGCCATGGATGCAGCAACATGTCTGTCTCAATTTTCTCGTATGTAAAATGGGTTGTGTACTAACCAGAGATCACTTCCTGGAAATTGGGAGGAAAAAAATCATTCTCCCTATTTCATCAAGAACCAGCACCACTTCGCCAGCAAAAGGAAAGGTTCATTTATTTCTTAAACAAGTGGCTGTGGAGCCCCCACTATGAGTCAGACACAAAAAGAGACCAGTAGGATGTTCGCCATGCTCAGGAGGCCCAGAGCCTCCTGGGGGAGATGGGTGTGTGTGAACTGATTCATGCGAGGAGGTCGGAGCAATGAGAGAAGTGAATAAACTGCTTGGTAGGGTAGGGAGTGTTAGGGAGGGCTTCATGGAGGAGGTGGCACTTGAGCAGGAATTCCTGCTCAGGTTCAGTGGGGAAGTTTGGCACCTTAGGGAATAGCAGCCATGGATGGGAACATGGATGGCCCTTGGGGTGACTTTGGGCCAGTGGGAGCTGGTCAGAAATGAGGCTGATGGACTGCATGAGGACACAGCCCCAGCACAGGGCCTGGCATCTAGTTGGAGCTGGACAAATGTTGTTGAAAGAATGAAGGGGTTGTGAGAGCCCTGAGTGCAGGGCTGGGGGCCAGTCCGCCACCCTGGGGACAGTGGGAGCCACTGTGAGGTTTGTATAGGGTGTGAGGGGGGCTCCAACTTCATCCTTCTGCATGCAGATGTCCATTTCTCCCAGCACTATTGGTTGAAAAGATTGTTTTTTCCTGTTGAATTATCTTGGCCCCTTTGTGGAAATGAATTGACCGTAAATGTAAGGTACTACAGGGCTTTGAGAGGGAGGAGCGATGGTGAGGTCTGTGCTCTCGAAAGCCCAGTTTGGTGGCAGAAGCTCGAGGCGGGAGAGGTTAGAGGGAGACTTAGATAGGTGGGCTCCATGGAGGAGAAAAGCAGCCCCCAGATCAGCCCCGGGCCCACGGAGGGGAGCCAGGTACAGGGCTGCGCCCTGAGTCAAGGCCATGAGGTCAGCCAGAATGTGGTCCCCAGGCCAGTGGCACTCACGGGGGAGTCAGGATGGGGGCGACAGAGAAAAAGCCGGTGCTCCTCGGCCCCTCAAGGTCCACACACCGGTAAAATTAAACCCTCTCCAGATATAGCCACTGCAAGTAGGTTTTCAGGTAACGAGAGGATTGTAAACGTGAAACGATGCCAATTACAGCAGCATTATCCTGGATTATAAAGCTTCCAAGAGGCGGCTCGTGCCTCCAGGCGTGCTGTGCCCAGAAATTTCCAGGGGAGCCTTGGAATCCACGTCCAGGCTGCCTGAAGCCAGGCCCCACAGGTGGTGTGGGCTGCTGGGTGGGTCCAGCCCCACTACTTCTACTGACCTGCCTCCATTTCCCCAAGGAGATAGACCCCTGCGGCAGGAGGACACTCCCTACCCCTACGATTCTGAGATACCCGGTGTGAGCAACGTAAGGCTGACAGGCCATCTCTGAAGGAAATTTGGCCTTTCACGGGCTTCCCCAGCCCTGGGGGCACCGAGCCCCTCTGAGGCTCTTCCTGGCCACCCCCCGTACCACCCTCCCCTGACCTACGGAGGCAGTGGGACTGCACACAGCTGGAGCCAGCCCTGGCTGCCCCTTCTGGGCTGTATGGCCTTTAGCCGGTCTGCTTCTCTGAATCACAGTTTCTGCTTTGGTCCCCCACTTCGCGGAGTGTTTTTGGGATTAAATGAGATGTTGTAAAGAGCCCGAGGAATAGAAACCAGTCCAGCCGCCATGCAAGATGCTTCGGCAGTGTCTGCTCAGCTGGTAAACATCCACACCCTGGAAGTTGCGCAGATCTGTGCAAGGATGTTTCTGCAGCACCTTCTGTGAGGGTGGATTGTAAACAACTGAAAAGGCCATTACTAGGGGCCTGATTCAATTAGGATCTGTTGGTCCTGTGGAATCCTTTGCTGTAATTAAGGAGTCTGGCAGCTCCCATGTGCTGTCATGGGCAGATCCCACCACGTGGGGCTGAACAAAGCAATTGCAAACAGCACCTGCAGAATGATTCCACGGAAGCCTTCAGAACCCCCCACAAGCACCCAATGTCTTATGTGTTCATGTCTATGCAAATATGCAAGTAGATGCAACAAGAATAGCCCAGAAGAAAACATGCTCATATGACCCAGTGGTCGCCTCTGGGGAGGGGACCGAGCTGGAGGCTGTGAGGTGGCAGGAGCATCAAAGAGAATTTCACTTTGCTGAAGTTGAAGTGTTTCACAGCAATATATGCCCACATCACCTGCATAGACACACACACAAAATCCCAGTCCAGCACCAAGTGCAGACAGCAGGCCTGACCCATGCTCTGTCAAGGGCCGGAGGCCATAATTATGACTGCAGGCCAGAAGGAGCCTGGGAAGGAGGGTGCCTCAGCGCCTCATGCCAATGTCCCCAACTCTAGGAGTCTGGATTCAGGGATGAGGAAGTCCCTCAGGTAGACAAGGGACATCCCCTGGTATTTAAGAGGGACAGAGAGACGCCGCTCTGTCAGCCTGGCTGGGCCAAGGCCATGGCCCACCTCTCCTGGCTGAGCAATCTGCCAAGAAAACTATTGAACTACATAAAAATCCATCCTGGAAATCCCAGAGGCATCCTTAGAATGGAGCATGGCCTTTAAATTAGAATGTGTAAAAAAAAAAAAAAAAAAAAAAAAGGCAGATTTGCCTGTAACTTGCTTTCAGGTTAGTGAGGGCTGGTGGCCAAAATGCAAACGGCTGTGCTTGCCTGAGGCGCCTCCACCCCCAGTGCCTGCGGGATCCTGCGATATTGGCTGTGAAGGGAACCCCAGCCCCACTGGGTTTCTGTGTGTAACCAGCACGTGTTCCCATGGAAACTCGGCTTCGCAGAATCCTCTGGAAATTGTTGCCAAGGAGGGGCCACTGCTTCCCACACCCACTTTGCGTTCCTGGGTTTGTTTCCAGGGATGATTTTCTAGAGCAAGTGCTGAGAGGAGCCGGAGCAGAAGAGAGGGTTGGAGGCTGAACCACTGGATGGGGCAGGATGGGGCAGGATGGGGCAATGCATCCTGCACTGAGCTACGGCCCTGGAGAGGCTGGTGGAGGCTGAGGGAGTCAGAAGTAGTTGAAATGTTTCAGATGCCCCAAGGTTCTGAAGACAGCGGCCGGGCACGACCCAGGAGGGCAGGGCCGGCTATGCCAGGAGAGATGGTGGGAAATCCTTGGGCGGAGCAAAGGCAGGCCAGGCAAAGAAGCATCTGCTGAGGCCTGGACACGCCCTCTCCCCGCTGTGGTGGGTCCTTGTGGTGGGGAGCACACAGGAGGAAGCAGTGTACCCTGAGGCCTGGGGTCTGCCTCAGAATGGCTGCCACCACCTTTCAGTTCTAAGGCTTCCCCTCACCTGGGTCTCACCTGTTCCCGCTCAGGCACCCTGCCCTCCGGCACTCTTCCAGGGGGCTAAACTCACCCCCTCTCCAGCCCCTCCTGAGGGCTCTCCTCACACACACCTCTCAGCTTGCCTTGCCCCCAGCGCAGGAGCTCCCTTCAGGGGCAGCCACAAAACCTGGGCCCCAACCCCTGGGAGGCCTACCCCTCATTTAGCTGACCCCCTCGGCACTGCCCCTTGGCAGCCTGATTTTCCTGAATGAGGAGTGAAGAAGGAAACGCACGCCTGCTGAGCCTGGATGAGCGGGGAGTCCCCTTCTGTCCTCACTGAGCTGTCTTGATTGTCACTGAAACCGAGGCTCAGGTGGACACGCTGCTGGGAGGTGGGATTTGAGACAGGCCAGTGGCCACCCAGCCCCAAACGACCCCCAAGGGCGGTTCCTCTCTCTCCTCTCCTCCACCCACTCAGAGCTGCACACAAGCCTGCCTTTAAGGAGCTCAGTTCGAGGCCCTCTCTGTCCCCCCCTCCTCCATCACTGCCACCTGCACCCCCCTGCGGTAATCTGCCACCCCTCACCCCTGTGCCGCCCATCTCCTAGGGCTCTCGGTCCTGGGGGCTGGGGAATGGGTGCTGAGTCTTCCTTGCTCCATACTAGCAGACCCAGAACATTCTTCCTCCGCCTCCCTTGTGTCAAAGACCCTCCAAGCGTCCTGCCCTTCGCCCTTCTACCTCGACCTTCCTCCTCCTCCTCTTTGCTTCCCGAAGACCTCAGAACCTGCTGCTTCACAGCCTTGCCCTGGACCAGGCTCGGCCGCCACACTGGCAATGTCTGTGTCCAGTGAGGGGTGACAGGTGGGTCCCCGAGGGCCTCATAGGCCACAAGGAAGAGTTGGGACTTTGTTCTAGGTGAGGTGGGAACTGTAAAAGGGTTTGAGCATAGGGAGGGACGTGACTGTTGTGGAGTAGACTGTCGGGGCACGGCAGCCATGCTGGGGCCTGGACCAGGGGTGGGGGTAATCCTGCCAGGCTCCCCTCTCTGCCACTGGGCAACTAGAAAAGGCTGACTCCCAGCCAGAGGGCCTGGGGTCCAGGGACTCAGGACAGAGAGGTCCAGGCCCGGCGAGGTGGCCTCCTGCTGACCTTGCTGCCTTTGGTTTTCCTGGGGAGGCGCCCAGCACCCTGAGCGGCACTGTGCCCCCTTCTCCACCCCACACCACTCACCACCCCCGCCTCTGCCTCAGGCTGTTGGAGTCAGGAGCCTGGAGGGCAGCTCTGCTGGAGGCAGCTTCGCCTCCCTAAACAGGCAGCGAGTTCATTAAACTCCAGCCTCCTGGGGAGCAGAGGCCTCTCTATTCAGCCTTATAAGCCAGCTCAGAGCCCTCCTTGCTGTGTGCTCACAGGGTGGGCCCAGAACGGAGCTGGGAGGCTGTGGACTGTCCTGGGGGTTCAGGGAGGCTCAATGCCATCCCAGCAGAGGGCCCAGGACTGCTTCGAGATGTCAGTCAATGTTCACCCCCACCCCCAGCCTTCCTCTCCCCATGGGAGGGGCCTGACCTGCAGTGCAGAAGGTGCTGCCCAGACCTCGTGGTCCAGTGCTGCTTAGGGGCCAGTGGCAGGCCACCCCACCCTACCTGAACACATTTGGGGTTTGTGTGAGAGGGTACCTCTGGGACCTCTGGGGCAGCCCAGGGCGTGGGGAGGGAGGATTGGCCTGCCCGTTTTATGAACGAGGAAACAGTGGAAAGCTGAGGGAGGGATAGGGGAGAGCGACATCCTGGGGATCCCGACCTCAGCCCCGTCTGCCTGTGAAATGGGTTCCCTTTTCAGTGTGGGCTGCTGCAAGGGTGACATGAGGGGTAATGTGAGCGCACAGAGGAGCAGGAATGGCTCAGGGCCGGGCCTTGAGGGACCACTGTCCACGCAGGGCCTGAGCTTCTGCAAAACAAAAGGACCCCTCTGCCCATGCGGGGGAGGCCCCGGGGACCAAGCCACAGCTAGACCACGATGGAGAGAGGTGGCCTCGAGGCAGCGGGGCCTGGCCCTGGGCCAGGAGGTGGGGGCTGGTCTAGCGGGCTGGGGCACAAGGCAGATAAAGACCAAGGAGGAGGGTTGGGTCAGGATGTGCCAGATGCAGGGGCCTTTGGGAGTCTGGGTCTTGGGGTAGAAGGAGGAGCAGCTGAGGCCCTGAGGACGGAGGAGGTGTGAGGAGCAGAGGGATGAAGCAGCTGCCTTAGTGAGTGTGGAAGGCCAGGCCAGTGGGACACAACCTTGGGGTCCTTGTTGGGGGCAGAGAGCTCCAAGCTGTTCACCTCCTAGTTAGCCAGCACCTCCCCTCCCAGCTCAAAACGTGCCCCCACCTACTCCAGGCCCCCAGCCTGACCAGCACTCAGCCGCCCCCTCAGCCTGCCGCTCTGTCCCTGAGGCCAGCCCAGCCTCTGTGGTTCAATCTTACCCACACCTCATACTTCCTACGCCAGCACCCTGCTCCCTGCTGGTGTGGCCGACTTGTGCCTTTGGCCTAACTGGGCAGCAGGTAGGGAGGTGGGGGCATCTGCAAGGTTACTCCTTTATTCATCCACTCCGCCATGCTCTGCACACAGCTCTGACAAGGGTCCCTTGCCAGGTCCCTCTGGAGGAACCCACAGTCAGCCTTGCAGCTGTGGTGCAGGCTGGCGCCAAGAGAGCCCTTGGGTCTCGAGAGGGTGAGGAGGCCTTGGGGAGTGGGTGGTGTCCAAGAGAGCCCCTGAAGACTGAGGAAGGGCCCACCTGGCAGAGGTAAGAGCTTGGGCAAAGGCCTGGAGATGTAGAACACTCAGTGGGTATGGCTGGGGCACAGAGTAAGAGGTGGAGGCAGGCCAAGGCAGGAAGGGCCTTGACTGTAGGGGTGAGGTGATGGGGCGCCCCGGGGGCCTCACTCCTGGTACAGAGCAGGTCCTCTGGAGGGAGGGGCTGCCCCGGGGCCTCTGATCCGGGGCAAGACCTGTGGGCGGGGGGAGCTCATCCTAGAGATTTTCATAGACCATGTTAAATTCACTGTCATCCTTGAATCTGTGCAGTTTCTCCTGGAAAAAAAAAGAAATAAAAGACGATAGGAAAGGAAAAGAACAAACTTGCACTAATTTAGTTTTAGTCAGAGGCAACCATGCGTGTGGCTTCCTGCATAGCTGTGACAGGGAGGCCTGTCCTTGTCCCCAAGCCCGTCTCTCCATTCTCTTCTCCTAGCTGTCCACTTGACCCCTGCTGTCTACCCTCCAGCCCCGTGGGCCTCCTCTGTCCTGCCTCAGGGCCTCCCCACATGCTCTTCCCTCCGTCTGGGGTGTTCCCCTGACCAGGCCTGCTCCCCAGCGAAGCCCTGCTCCCCCTGCAGGGCTCGGCTCAGTCTCTCCAAGAGCCACGCCCTTCAGCCCTGGTCGGGCCCCTCCCTGGAACCCACCCCTCATGGGGGCTACCAATATCTCTGTGTGCTTGTTGGGTTAGTGACCTGTTCCTGCAGACTGGAGGCTCAGGAGGGCAGGGACATGTCTGGCCATCCTGGCTAGCAGCCCAGGGTCTGGCACGGGGTGAGCACTGCCTGGGATGGCCCTCACATCCTTGGGGGTCCCACGGTGGGGAGGCCCTGCTTCCAGAGCCAGGGCTGAGTATGCAAAGAGCAGAGAGAATAGGAGATTCAAAGAGCAGTGCCAGCCCGGGCCCCCTGGGCCAGGGGACCCCAGCACCAGCCCCCGCACTTCCTGTGATCTCTTCCAAGGTGCCCATGGGCCCACCCACCACCCACCGGCTCCTGCACTGGCTTAACAACCCCTTGCACTTACGGCGTCCCTGGTGCAGACGTTACTTGACTGGGAACTCATTTGCATTCAGGGACAGTTGGTTTTGCAGGAAAGAGTCGCTCATCCACTTTACAGATGAGCAAACTGAGGCTTGAGAGAGGATCGTGATCAAGTGATGCGCCTCAGTCCCCATGGTGATAAAAACCGAGCCCCAACCAGGCCAGCCCAGGCTGGCACCAGCTCCAACTCCAGCCGCTGACTTCAGCCAACACCAGCCTGGGGGAAGCTGATGAGAAACCTAACACCCCTTGCCTGATTGGCCAGTGTAGACGCTACACTGGGCCTGGCGGTAGTTATGACTGCTCGCTTGGGTCCCAGTATGACATTTGATCCTCGTGGCAAATCTATGAGGTGAGTGCTGTCAGGCTCCTCAGTTTACAGACAGGAACACAGAGGTCGGCCCCTTGGCCTGGGCTGCACAGCAGTAAGAGATGGAGCAGGGGTTCAAACCCACCAGTGCTCCCAATCTCTAGGCCAGCTGCCTTGGGAGAGGGCTTCGATTCTACAGCAGCTGGCTCCCTCCTGTGGTCCTCATTTCACAGGTGAGCAGAGGGTCAGATGGGAGGAAATGAGGAGCCGGGCTTACTGCCCCAGCCTGCGTACCTGGGAGAGATGCCCCTGGGTGAAGGGAAGGCTGCTGGCCTCGTTCTGGATGCAGGAGTAGACCTCGGTTTCTCTGCGCTGCAGGGCCTGCAGGAGACGGCATGAGGGTCAGAGAGGATGCACGGAGGGGCAGGGCAGCTGGGCCTCCCTGCCTGTTATGGACCACCCCTCCCTGTGGGAGCCAGGGGCCAGGCAGAGCCCTGTGGGCCCTAGTCTGCGAGAGGACGCCCACCTCGCCCAGCCACGCCACCCACAGTCACAGTGTCACACCTTTGCACCTGCCATTCCCTCGCAGAGCCGCCTCACCCCTTTCCCACTTGCACAGTGCATCTCCTTTCTGTGCCCCCTGCCACCTCCCTCACCCCACCTCTGGGTCAGCCCTGGCAGGCTGTCTCTGGGCTTCCACCTGGCTGGCAAGGGGAGGGGCCCAGGCCCACTCCTGCAGACGCTGCCTGTCCTCAGGCCCTCGGGCACCCTGGCAGCCAGCAGCCCCCGGCTGTGACACCCATGGCCATGGCTCCAATCGGATGCCCTCCTGGCATCCGCTCTCTCTCCCCAGGTCCAAAACCCCTGCCCTGTGAGGGTCTCGTCCACCCATCCCACCGCAGCCTGTGCTCATGGATGACCTAGGCACCCACTGGGGTCACACTCCTCGCCCATCAAGCTGTGCCTGGCTTGTCTCTGGGTCACTGAACCTACAGCTGTGCTCAGCACACTTGGAGAACAGCAGTGAATGAACTACGATGAGGAGCTCCTCACTCACTAAGTGTGTGTCTTGGGGCCACACTCACTCTTGGCCCGGCTATGAGCAGTCTGACCAGAGGGTAGGGTAGAAAGAACCAGGGCTTTGAAATCAGACAAGACTAGGATCAATTCTCAGCTCTGACACACGCCAGCCTTGGGCAAGCCCTGAACCTCTCTGTGCCTCAGTTTCCTCATCTGTATAATGGGAGCAATCATATCTATCTTGCAGGCCCAATGCATAATTAAATGAAATATTTGTGCCTCCAGGCCCCAGCACAGGGTCTGGCAAACAGTAGGTGCTGAATAACTGTTGAATGATCATCAAGGGAGGCTTGATGCCTTCTTCGCCTCTCTGCGGTCACAACCTGGACTGTCCCTCAGACCCTGATGGGCCCCGGGGTCCCATGTAAGGGGCAGATGTTGCTCTTTAGGGTTGCTGGAGCAGAGCCGCCAACAGCATAAGCAAGAGGCAGGAGCCGTTCCTTCCCGTGTGTACATGTCATATGGATGCCGGCTGGTTGCCAAGGAGGTGGTTTCCCTGGCAACAGGCAAGCAGGGGTTGCCGAGGCAGGCTGGAGAGACAGGTGGTGCTCTGAGGCAAGAGGAGGGAGGAGAGGTGGGGAGGGGAGGAGGGAAGGAGGCGTCGAAGGGTAGTGGGGCATGAAACCCGTGTAATAAACCATTCGGCACCTGAGGGGCCCTCCCTTCAAGGGCATCACACAGGGATAGCAAGGCAGCTCTGGGCACCAGCTCAAGGGGCCTCTGATTCAGAAAGAGGGTGGATCTTAGGAGAGGGGCTTCTGACCTGCCTCCTGGTAGGGAAGGGTGCAGGGCCGCCCCAAGGAGGAGCCCCATTTCCAGAAGGCAACTTCCAAGGCCTGCTCTGGCCTGTCAGGTCTACCTGCCCGCCCAGAGCACCAGCCACCACCGGCGAGCCTGGCACACAGGATGGGGATCTGCTCCTCAGACGCCCTGTGCCCCCACCTCTGTCCACCCAGGCCTGGATTGCCACAGATCTGACAGCCCCTCCAAGCTGGACATTTCTGGTCACAGAGAGAAGAGAGGAAAAGGACCTCTTTGCTGACATCTAGGCAGGGGAGCAGATCTGGGGTCCCACAGGTGGTTCTCTTCTCCTTCACATCCGGCTCTCATGGGTTGCCTACCACACATGAGCCCAGAGAGGCCCAGAGTTGTCTCAGGCCACACAGCCCCTCAGTAGACGGGAACTCAGGCCTCCTGCTCCCAGCTCTGCAGAGCCACCGGCCCTGGCATGCCGCCAGGGGATTTCTGAGCCAGAGAAGAGCACCCTGCCCTGGGAACCTGCAGGCCTCTGCCCCACGCTGGCGGGCGGCTGCGCTGCAGAGGTTGCTGCCAATTAGCAGCTGCTGAGTGAAGCCTTTGACAAGTCCTGACCGCTGGCTGCATTTGCATTCAGGCTGTGACCCGCATCGCTAGGCTGTGAAATGCAGGGCGGCCTTTGTCAACAGGACATCCTCGGAGGCTCTGAACCAGACCCTCCTGGTGGTGATGGGGACCGCCTTCCCCAGCCTGTGCCTGCTGGGAGAAGACTCTCCAGGCCTCTGAATGGGCTTCCCCGGGCTGGGGCTGAGTCGAGCCTGGGGCTGTGCTGTGTTGGGGCTGGACTAGGCAGCGCTGGGCAGTGCTGGGGTGTGCTGTGCTGTGCTGTGTGTGTTCCGTCTGTGCTGTGCTAGGTCTGTGCTGTCCTGGGGCTGTGCTGGGCTAGGGCTGTGCTGACCTATGGTGTTCTTGGGCTTGGCTGTGTTGGGGCTCTGCTGGGCTGTTTTGTGCTGTTCTAGAGCTGTGCTGTGCTGTGCTGGGGCTATGCTCTGAACTGTGTGCTCAACTGTGCTGTGCTCTGTGCTGAGCAAGCACTGTGCAGGGCTGTGCTGTGCTGTGCTGTGTTGTGCAGGGCTGTTCTGTGCTCTGCTTAGGCTGTGCTGTGCTGGGCTGGGCTGGGCTATACTGTGCTGGGCTGGGCTGGGCTAGGCTGGGCTGTGCTGTGTTGTGCTATGCTGGGCTTGGCTGGGCTGGGCTGGGCTGGGCTGTGCTGGGCTGGGAACGTTTGTCTGGGACCCAGGCCCTCCAAGTCCTCTGCCTCCTGCTGCCCAGGGGGCAATGGTGCTGACCTGAATGGTCATTGGCCCTGGTAGAGGTGTGAAGTCAGTGCCAAGGCTCTCCTCTAGGTGGGCTGAGGCCAGAGCTGAAGCTAGCTGCCCTGGGCCAGAACCTAACCTGAAGGTCCTGGACATCGGTCCACCTATAATATGAACACCCCCCCGCCCCAAGACCACGGAAACAGAGCTGCACTCTCATGGGCACCTGCGGGGAGAGACCTGCATGGTGAACCCTGGGGGCAGATGGGTGAGACCTGGGGTGTTGTTCAGAAAGGAGTGGAGGAGTAGAGCCTCTGCTCTGGGTCAAGTTCCTGGAGCGTCTGAAGCGATGGCCTCCTGCAGTGACAGCAGTCCAGGGAGGCAGGGCTGGGATGGGCCTCCCCTAAAGGAGGAGCTGGTGATCGGGAGCCACTGAAGGTTTCCAAGGGGGAGGCGACAGCATCAGCCGTGCATTAGAAAGGTCCCTCCTGCCACAGTGAGGAGCCAGAGGGGCTGGAGGCTGAGAGCAACACTGAGGGCACCAAGCTGAGCAGAGGCTGCAACAGAGCTAAGGGGAGGCGCCCAAGGGCTCTGAGGGAGTCAGACCATAAGGTTGATGCCCTGCATTTGCCACAGGGGCCCGCCCTGGGCCCAGCCCTGAGCCTCATGGAACCAGGGCGCCTGGAAGGTGAGACAGTCCTCCACTCGTCCATGTGGCAGTTGATCGCTGAGCACCTACTGTGTGCAGGGAGGGATGCAAGACGGACCACAATCACAAAGTAAAAGGTGACCAAAGGCCACAGAGAAGGAAGATAGGGATGTTAGGGTCATGGAGGGGGTGAGGAGGTTGCAGTTTTAAAATGGAGGTCAGGAAAGGCCTCACTGTAAAGGTGCTGTATGAGCGGACAGCTGAGGAGTGAGGGAGTGGCCTCGGGTCAGCTACAGAAAGGATGCTTGGGAGCAGGGCACAGCCGACAGCAAGCCCCCACGGTGCGGCAAGCTGGTGTGTGTGCGGAGCAGCAAGGAAGCCAGCGTGACTGGAGCAAGAGAGTGAGGGAGAGAGACAGCGGGAGGACATGTGGACAGAGCTCTCGGAGGCCACTGTCAGGGCTCTGACGTGGACTCTGAGAGAGAGGCACCTCTGAAGGACTGCAGCCATCATGAAAACGTGCCTCGCAGACCTCAGCTCCATGGATCAGCTTTGACTAAGGGTCCAGGTGCTGGGCTCCAAAACATGCCGCATGGGCTACTCCCAGCCAATGGCTGAGCATGGCAGGAACGCCATCACAGCCTCCCGCTCTGGGAGACATGGGGCTCCTCCAACTTGGGTGCTCCCAAGGGCCTTGTTGAACCTTGCCTAGACTGTGTGGCGGTCGGAGCTCCCTCTCTGCCTTCCTTTCTCCATCCTTCACTCAGCACCACATCTGCTTCAGTCTGACGGCCCTCCCAGTCATCCCCATTTGCTCTCACAGGTGGCTTGTCTAATAAAATTATTGCACATCTAACCCTGGTTTAGCGTCTGCTTCTCAGAGGACCTAGACTCACAAGGACTCTGAGCAGAACAGAATGAGATCTGTGTGTGGATGGACAGGATCACTCTGGCTGCTGCCAGGTGGAGAACAGACTGGGGCAAGGATATAATAGCTGGGCTGATTAGAAATCAATTGCAGGACTCCAGGCAAGCAATAGTGGTGGCTCCCACCAGCGTTAGCACTGGAGGGTGGAAGGGTCAGATTCCAGATGTGCTCTGAAACAAGATATGCTGATGGATCAGATATGGGTGGTGACAGAAAGAGAGAAGGAAATGGCAACTTCGAAATTTTCAGCCTGAGCCACTGGAGGGATGGAGTGTTCACTCACTGCAGTGAGGAAGAGGCATGTTGGAGGTAAGGAATTGGAGTTTGGTCTGAGAGAGAAGCCGATGAGATGTCCAAATGGAGTTGCTGGTGGCATTCAGAGGAGATATCTGGGCTGGAGATATAAATTTGGGAGTTGTCAGAGTGTAGATGGTCTCAGAACCTTAAGGCTGAAGGAGATCACCAGGGGGCGGGAGGAGGGAGTGAAGATCAAAGAGAAAGGGCCCCAGGACTGGATCCCAATGTTCAGAGGTCAGGGTTCCTAAGGAGGAACGAGTGAAGAAGGCAGAGGAGGCATGGCAGTGAGATAGGGGCATCAGGACAGGGTGGAATGTTCTGGAAGCAAGTGAAGAAAGTGTGTCACGGAGGAGGAAAAGCTCGATGGTGATCTCCCGATGCTGCTGATTCATCAAGGAAGATGAGGATGGAGAACTGACCGTTGGATTTCACAATGTGGAGGCCAACGGTGGCCTTGAGAAGGAAGGTTTTGGTGAAGAGGTGGGCAGAAACCTGACTGAGTGGGTCAGAAAGGAGAGAGAAACTGCAGAGTCTTGACAGTTCTGTTATAAGGAGTCATAGAGAAAGGGCAGAGTCGCTAGAGGGGGATGCGGGCTCAAGGTAAGGAATTTAAGATGGAGGAAACCATAGCATGCTTGTAAGCTGCAAATGTAATATTGTATAATTAGTCCTATTTTACAGATTATGGAACCAAGACTCAGAAAGTTTAAACTGCAGAACCCACGAGCAAAAGAACTGGGCTTTGACCCCCAGTCTATCAGACCTACTCTAAATTCATGCTCCTTAATAGCTCAATTTTAAAAACAAATTGGAGTAGTATAGGTTTTTTTTATCATGAGCATTTTCCCACGTGAATAAAAAGCAAAAATTGACATAACAAAAAGGAGAAATATACAAATCTACAATCATGTGGGCAGATTTTAACTCACTTCTCTTAACATCTGATAGACAAAAAAGTCAATAAGGATATGGAATATTTTAACAACGTGATCACCAACTTAACTGAGACGTACAGAACAGTCACTCAGTCATGCCCACGGTAAGTTCTTTTCAAGTGCAAACAGAATATAAGCTGAGCCACAAAACAAGTCTTAAAAGACTTCAAAGGATTAAGGTCATATAGAATATATTCTCTGATTACGGTGGAATTAGCAAGAAATAAAAAACAGAACAATAATTACAAAATAATTCAACATTTGAAAATTAAGCAAAACACTTTTAAATAATCCATGGGGCAAGGAGGAAATCTCAGTGGAAAATTTAAACTGAAAGATAACAAAAATATGACATATCAAAACTTGTGGGGTGCAGCTAAAGCCATACTTAAAGGGAAGTTCATAGCCTTAAGTGCATAAATTAGAAAAGAAGACAGATTGGAAACCAATGCTGTAAGAATCCATCCAAAGAAAGTAGAGGAGGAATATATGAAAATCCTTCCCTGGAGGTTCGGAACAAGACAAAGAAGCCTGCTGTCACTACTCCTGTTCACCATCGTACTGGAAGTCTGAGGCAGCGTGATAAAGCAAGAAAAAAAGAAGAAAAAGCTATGAGGATTGGAAAGGAAAAAGTGAAACTTCCATTATTTATAGATGACAGGACTGGGTTCATAGAAAATCCAAAGGAATTTACAGAGAAACTATCAGAATTAATGAGTGAATTCAGCACGTCCATATACAAAAGTCAATCATATTTCTACATACCAGCAATAGACAATTAGAAAATGAAATTAAAATGGGGATAACACCTGTAACCTAAAACCCTATTATGAGGATTAACAAGACAGCAGGTGTAAAGTCTTATCACAGTGCCTGGCATATAGTAGGACTCAACAAACAGATGGTTTCTGATATCATCATCATGGTTATTAACGTCATTCTTATCTGCCAGGTCCAACCGCAGCTGGTACGGACTGGTCTTAAGGATGAGCAAAGTCTGTGGCCTCCCTTCACATCTCCTTTTGGGTTCTAAAACCTCTTGAAGCCACCTTGCAACCCTGAGGGGCAGTGGGCCTCTCCCCCCTCCTCCCGAGAAGTCCGCCTCAGCCTCTGAGAAGTCTAAACACTGGCGAGAAAGATGTTCCACGCAGAAGTGCATCTCTCCCATTGAAAATCATCTTGGAGAAGGCTATCTATTCACGTGGAGAGAGGTTCACGAGATAGTGTAACATGAACAAAGATAGCTGTACTACTCCAACAAAAAAAGTGTGTATGTGTGTACCGGTCTCTTCGTATGTATTTATAGGAAAAAAAGACCGGAAAGTATAGAAGTCAGTGTTACTAGTATTTATCCTGGAAGAAGATAGGCCTGGGATGGTGGTTATTTTCTTCTTTTTGATATATATAGAGAGACATCTCCCATATGTGAGTGTGCACGTGCGTGTGTGTGTGTCTGTATGGAGACAGAGAGAAATGTTTTTATTTAACAGCTGACACCAGAATTGCTCATAGGGAAAATACCAGGATGAGCTGCTGGGGGAATATGGGGAAGTCTGGGGCCACGTGGGAATCAGGGGCTGGTGGAAATTCCCTGGGCTGGGGGGCTGATGGCCCTTCGAGAGCTGGCAGTGTCATCTGGAGCTGTCAGAGCTGCCCTACAGGGACACTGCCTTTGCCTCATCCCCAACTGCCCCGTCCTCAGCGAACAGGGCCATATTCTGCATGCACTCTGTGTGGGGTTTTGTAGAGATTGAGGAAGGACCCGGGTTTCACGTGTGAGTCAAGAGGGTCGGGACAGGAACAGTGAGCGCCCACACAGGCAGAGTCCTGGTGCAGAGGCAGCCGGAGGATGCGCCCTTGGCGAACCTGCGGGACCTCACAGGGCTTTGAGCACCCAGATTTGGAGCCAAGATCCTAACCTGGTGGCTCTAGAGCTCACGGAGTTGAGACCCCACTGACGCTGACTGGCATTTGTTCCGCACGTTCTCTACAACGAGCGCGTGTTACTTGTGGGACTAAGATAGACGTAACTGAAAACAAAGTTTGTCGTCTTCCCAGCTGCTGGGCAGAGTGGCCAGCCAGGCACAGGTCTGAGCCCCTCCCAGGACGATTAGGAAGACCACTGCAGAGACAGAAAACGTTTACGACACAACGAAACAGTGTCCCAGCCCGTGTCTCCGCTTAATCGTAAAGATAAAACAACGTCTGTGTGCGGTGTGGAAGAGGGAACGCGAAGAGTTAAAACTCGTTGATGTGTGAAGGGCGTGGAGCAGTGCCTGACCTTTTTCCTCTTTTTGTGGTTTTTGTTGTTGCTGCGACGTTGTTTGTGCAATAAAAACAGGAAAGAGTTAGTGGGCCGGTCAATGTCATTTGGTCAGATGAAGAAACTGTCTTCATTCCTCTCCAACTCATGCCCTTGATATCCCTTGTTCCAGAAGTGAAGGGGTCTGCCACGGAGGGGAACGGGGTGGCCCCTTACATCTGCGTGCCTGCTGGGGGCCGGGGGCCATACACGTGTAATCTCAGTTCACCTTCATAGAAACCCCACCAGGCGGGAATTCTTGTCCCCAGTTTACAGATGAGGAACTGAGGCTCAGAAAAGTCACGCAGCTGGTAAGTGACCAAGTCAGGCAACCGGACCCTGAGTCAGGCCCGAGAGAGCAGACGGACTCACTGTGTAGATGGATTCAGCAGGAGGCTGCTCCTGGCCACTGGCGGTGCTCGGGGCCGGGCACTTCTGGGCGGGGGGCTTCCGTGGAGCCTGTATCTGTTTCTGGGAGGAAAGGAGTCAAGGCTGTCAGGGCTGGGAGCAGCAGGTCCCCTGTCTCCACCTCGCCCCCATTCTGCCCCCCAGACCCGCCGGGGAAGGATGGCAGATGGTCATGAGACCACACGGAAATTGACCACTCAGCACCTTCCGCCCACCTTCTCCAGGGAAACCTGGCAAATGCCCCCACCACCTCCATCAGACCACTCATCTGCCTGGAGGTTCCATAAAGGACAAAGACCCCCCACGAGGTGTTGCCCACGGACACAGGGCCTGGCTCAGGGTAGGCGGGCAGTGCAGGCACAGCGCCGGTGTGACACGGCCCCCGGCTCTGGAGCTGACTGTAGTCTGTAGTGGTGGTCCTGACGAGCGCCAGACCAGGTGTCCAGTCCCGCTGTGCCCCCCACTGGCTCGGTGGCCTTGCACAAGCCACTTCCCCTCTCTGGGCCTCAACTTCTTCAGCAATAACCCTCTCTGTGAGGTTGCTGCAAGGATTCAGGAAGGTGATAAGTGGTAAGTGCCTGGCACTTAGGTGGCCCTTGGCCAACCAACACACACCTGTCAGGAACCTCCTGTTAGCCAGGCACCGTCCCTGCCCTCCTGGACCTGAGGACCCAGTGGGGAGACGGAAATGAACTAGGACTTTCACCAACATGTTGTGCATGTGCTGATCTACAGGGACAGAGCCTCCTCACACAGGGAGGGAGCAAGCCCCTCACCCGGCGGGAAGGGATGTTTAAGACCTGAGGGCTGAGAAGTTGGTTTGGCAGGAGAGGGATGAAAGGCAGAGGGAACAGCATGTGCCAAGGCCTGAAGGTGTCAAGGAACTTAAAGATGGTCAACTTGGCCAAAGAGGGAGGCGAATCTGCCCGGGATGGGTCAGGACGGCCGGGCAGGACCGCGTGAAGAGAGCAGACAGTGGAAGACACCTGAGCGGCTCTAAGCAGCAGGTCCCAGGATGGGAAAGCGCATGCTGGCTGATGCATGAAGCACTGGTGGTGGTCCTGGAGGCAGGGGCGGTGGGCCTGCAGGAAGGCGAAGGCTGCGGGACAGGAGGACAGTGAGGAGGCGGTGCGGTCAGCCCTCCAGAGGCAGAGGGAGGCCATCCGGACGTGCCCCCTCATGGCAGGTGCCACACTGCCAACAGTGGAGCAATGGCAGCCTCACCTCGGGGTAGGAGCTAATTAAAAACCCTGGCCGCCTGCCAATCCCCAGCCCATTTACTCGGGATTAGCTCTCGAGAGCTACTTAACTCTCAGGCAGAAGCCGGCGCCACCCCCAGTCACAGCATAATAATGGCTCAGGATGATGGAGCCTCACTGGGTACCGGGTGGGCTCTAAACATATTACCTGCCTCATCTCATGTGCCCCTCAACAAACCTGCAAGACAAGTTTTCTATCATCTCTGTTCCCAAGGCTCAGAGAGGGCAGGCAACTTGCCTGAGGCCACAGAGCCAGAAGCAGCAGAAGCAGGATTTGAACCCAGGTCTATGAGATTCACCAAGATGCTGACCTGATAGCACCTGGAGATTTTGCTCCTGTTTTGTTTGAATGTATAGGTCTCATGGGCAGTTAGGTGCTGGCACTTTACAGTTTACAAAGAACCCTAGGATTGGTCTAATTTTCATTTAATTCCTGTATTAGCCTGAGGACGCGGGCATGGAATTCCCACTTTACAGAGGGGGAAACTGAGGCTTGCCCAGTGAGACAGTGGCTGTCCCTGGATCGCGCCCAAATGCCTTGCTCTCTAATCTAGTGCCCCTCCGCTATGCCGCCTGCTTCTTGAGGGGTCTGTCACAGTCAGAGGGCGTGGCTCACCCCCAGGCAGCTGGGGCGCTGGTGCCTCTCCCCTCGCTGAGCCAGTGGCCTGGACACTGCCAAGTGGACATGAGCTCATGGCTAGGGACCATCCTGGACCCCATGCTGAGCAAGACCCAGGCCAGGCCTCGTGGTTTCTAATGAGACTGGGGGTGTCACTGTGGGGTCATGGGAAGGAGCCCCAAGTCTCCCAGGAGGGTGGGGCAGACTTCTCAGGGCTTGCACTGTCTCCTGAAGATAGGAGAAGCGTCTGAGAAAATGTCCCAGGCCGCGGGAACAGCACATGGAAGAGCAGGACATGTTGGGGACATGCAGAACGATGGACTGTCAGACAGTGGCTGACAGAGTAAAAGATGAAAGAAGATGAGCTGGGAGGCTGGTGAGGGCTGGGCCACAAAAGGCAGGATGCCACAGTGTCTCTGCTCAGAGGGGCGGTGGGAGCAGCCAGGGCAGGGGAGCAGTCACATTGGGTCAGATTCGCATTTTATAAGGCTCCCTCTGCAGCCTCAGAGGTGAAGTAAGAGTTGGGAGGAGCGGGAAGCGAGGAGGCATGAGCTCCCAGGAGGGGCAGGCCTTCCGGGGGAGATGAGGAAGGGTCCCGGGGAGCGCAGAGGGAGCCCCCCTTGAAAAATCAGATGGATGCATTTTAATATAGGGGTGGGGATGCTCCGCCCCTTGGAGCCAGCCTTGCCCTCTCCGCGTGCCCTGTTCCAGGCCACCCACATTTGTCCTTTCAATTGCGATTTTCAAATGAATAAACCCATTAGAGTGGCCGTCAGCAGCTCAGGAAACCTGTAGTGCCTCAGTTTCCCCATCTGCAGAATTGGAGTGATACTGTTGCCTTGCCCGCCTCACAGCCTGTCACCTCAGCCTCATCCTTCAGGTCTCCGTGCTCACTCTCCCCATCATTATTCCTTCCACAAACACCTACTATGCGTCAGGCTCCCCCAGGCCCTGGGGACGCCAGCGCCCTCTAGGGCTCATGCCTGGTGGGGGAGACAGCCATGAACTCAGAACAAGGGTGTGGGGAGCGGAAGGGGGAGGTGAGGCTGCAAGAGGTGATGGAGCCCCAGACTATGGGGTGGGGGCAGGGAGACAGGGCTGGATCCTGGATAGACTGTGGCGGGACTTGCTTAGGGCTCAGCTGTGGAGGGAGAGAGGAGACAAGCACAACTCTGGGGCTTTGGGCTGGAGCGTCCGGGGGCGTGGTGCCACTTGCTGAGATGGGGCAGAGAGGGCAGACTCGGGCGACTGAAGAATGCTGGCCTGGATGAGGTAGGTGCAAGCACCCTTAGGCCCCCACAAAGAGCAGACGTGGTCTGGACCTCGGGGAGGGGTCTGGGCAGCGCCAGGAGGCGGAGAATGTAACCCCTGGGAGCAGAGAAGTCATCGGAGAGTGTAGACAGGGCAGCAAGAGCTCCGAGGAAGCGGCCTGGGACATGCTGATGTATACAGTCCACAAAGCTGTGGGTAACCCAGCACAAGGCTGCCCAGGGGGCCTGGAAGCAAGGGAAGGAGAGTCCCATGGAGAAGGGAGACCTGCTGTGTCAGATGTCCCCAGAGGGTAAGGATGGATCCTCAAAGTCTGCTCCGGAGCTGGCCTTGACCCTCCGGCTGGGTGGAGCCTTGCACCTGCTCTCCGGGGCAGGAATCACTTGCCTCTTCTGGGTCAGTAGCTTCGGGCTTTGATTCATTGATATCTGCAGCCGCCTGTGCTCCTGGGGTCCTCCAGGCCTCCTCGGCCCTCCCCTCTCGGCCCCCACAGCCTGCAGCCTGGCCTGGTCTCCAACTGGAGGCTCCCACTGCACGCTGCCTTCCTGTGCTCAGATAACGGTTCACATCGCCTGGCCCGGGAGGTGGCACCCCCAGGGTTGGCATCACGAACATGGTTCCCGCTCCAGGAGCTCTGGGGACGTCTTTGGCAACACAAACCCGGCAGCGGCTTCTGGCCTTCTGAGTGCTCTCTCCTTCAAGGCCAGGCTTTTGCCCAGCCCTTCCTCCCCCAAGTCCAGGGAGGGACAGCAGGAAGCACCGGGGCATCGCGCTCCTTCTGTGGGTCAGGCACCCAGCTGGTGCCTCCAAATGCTCTCTTCCACCCTTTCTGTGTGAGGGGCCGTCGATCCTTATCCTCATTGCTGGAGGAGGATATCCTCATTGCTGAGGCTCAGAGAGAGTCAAAGCTTGACAAGAGGGCGGGGGCCGCATCTGTCTGCCTTTCCACTGTGTCTGGCACTTAGCCCAGCACCTGGCACATACTAGACACTCAATGGCTATTCCTGGAAGGAGAGGAGGGGAGAGAGGAGCCAAGGCCCTGCCACAGGGTGAGAGGCTGGGACCGGAAGCCTGGTGTGGCTCCAGGGTGTACCCTTCCACCTCCCCTCCCAAGCCTTTACTGAGCACCTACTCTGCGCTGGGTGCCTCCCTGGCCTCACAGGACACTGAGATCCAGTCATTACAGCCCCATTTTGGCAGAGCAGGAGCTGAAGTGGGGGCCCAGGGTCAAGGGCACACCTAGCCTCGGTCTGGCCCTTGCCAACTGAGCTTCATGGCCACAGAAGGCACTGGTGCAGTCACTCACATAAGCCTCATGTGGGGGTCCACAGGCTGGGCGTGGATCCTCATCACCCTGCCTGAAGCGCAGTTTCTGTCCACAGCCTCTCCCAGCCCAGGCGCCCTGTCCAGCCCCTGGTGGCTGCTCAGTAGCCATTCGCTGGGGCTGGGGCTGCGTCCTAATGCTGGGACTCGTGGGAGGCTGAGGGGAGCATTTCCCACTGGTCTTCTGTCTTCCTGCTCAGCTGTCCCTGTGGCCAGGCAGGAGTTGAGGACTGAGGACCCACCGAGAGGGCAGGGCGCCTCTGGACCTCCCAGCGCCCGGGCGGAGAGAAGGGGCTCCCTCTGCAGCTTGTCAGCAGGACGAGGCCAAGTTAGGACTGGCTCGTGCCAGGGTCATGCCTCACATCTGTGGCATCCCAAGGGGGCTCACAGGACAGGAAAGGAAGCAGAGGGAGGCTGAGGTCGTCACTTGGGCTCCAGCTCAGAGAAGGCAGGAGAGGCAGCCTCTGGAGTTTCATGGCAGAGACAGCGGCCATGCTCAGCTTCTTCTACTGCCTCGGAGCCTTTTCTGGAAGAACGACAATGTCTGCAGCCTTGAGGCAAGGGTGGGAAACCGAGGCAGGGTTTGAGTCCCAGGCCTGCCCTGCACCGGTTGTGTGGCTCAGGCAGGTCCTCCCCGCTCTGACCCCAGGCAGCCTCACCCGTCCTTCCATCTGCAGATGTCTGCCGGACTCTGGCCCCGCAGGCCCTGATCCAGAGGCACCAGGCTCTCCTCGCGGGAGCAGAGCAGACCCGTAAACTGGGTGCTAGCAGACTGCGCATGATCTCCTCAGCGAATCCCGTGGGCCTCACCTTCAGGCTTTAACCCACCTCACTCGCCACTTCTCCTGAGGCCGGCCTGGTCCCAGCCACCGGCGCCTCTGCCTGGACCATTGCAGTAGCCCCTCGCCGGGTCTGCCTTCCACTGCTTCTCCTCACGGCAGCCAGAGGCTCCATCAGAATCTCCGTCCCATCCCGCCCAGTCTCTCTCCAAGCCCTCCAGTGGCTCCCAGCTCACTCAGAGTAAGAACTCAGGCCTGTTCAATGGCCCTCGCCCCAGCCCCCCACCTCCACCCTCCCTCCCTCCGCTCTCTGCACTCGGGCCACACCACCACATAGGCCCCCCTGCAGCTCCTGGGACGCTGCCAGCATGCTTCTGCCTCGGAGCGCCTGCACCTGCTGTTCCCCTGCTGGACACACTCTTCCCGATGCACACCTGCCTTCCTTCTGAGGGCAGTATGGGAAGGCCCTCCGTGACCCTTTATTTAAAACAGCAAGCTGCCCCATTACCACACTCACCCTCCTCACTTTGCCGTATTTTCCCCAACACCTAGCACACTGCTACACTGCGTATTCACTTGTTGGTTTATGGTCTGTCTTCCCTCAGCTGGAACACAAGTTCCACAAGGGCAGGGATTTCTTGGGGGTCCATTTTGGTTATCGCTGTATCCCCAGGGCCTGAACAGGGGCTGGAATGAGTAGGTGCTCAATAAATATTTGCTGAATGAAGGAGCAGATGAATTCCTACCTAAGGGGGCCTTCCCTGGGTGTGGACAGGGTCTGGCTCTTGGGTGCAGGGGCTTGGCCTTCCTGGACCCAGGGAGCCCCCCTTGGTGGGGCCGCAGCCCCTTCCCCACACCCAGGGCCTTTGCTGACGGAGCTGTTCCCTCAGGGAGCAGAGAGCAGAGGTGCCTGCACTCTTGGTCCCAGAGGGTGGAGCAATGGCCTGAACCGCTCTGATGGCAGCCTTCGAGCAGCCAGGACAGAGGCTCCTGGAGTCCCAACAGCCATCTTTGCACCCCAGAGCCTCACAGAAACTGGTGCCCACTGGGTACTGCATTCCTTCACTCAACAAACACTTCCTGCCCGCCTACCACGTCCTGGCACACACGGAGCCACGAGAACAGGATCCCCTCGGTCTCCGTCCTCATGTGTTTGCTGCCTGGTGGGGGGTGAGGGTGAGCATCGAACAAGAAACCACAGGGCTGGGTGACCATGTGAGCGGGGAGCCCCACTGGGGAGACACCCCTCCCTGCATAGGTGCCATCGCAGCATGAGCAGGAGTCAGCCAGGCGTAGAGCTGGACCAAACTGCCCCATCCACCTGCACTCCAGCCCTGACTCTGCCACATGCTTGCTGTGTGACCTTGGGCGAGTCACTACCTCTCTGAGCCTCACTTTCCAGAGCTGTAAAATGTGAGGAAACCTCCCTCACAGAGTTACAGTGGGACGCAAATGAGAGCTCGCATGGGAGGGTGCCTGGTGCACAGAGGCTCTTACGAAATGCTTCTTCCTTCCTTCCAGGTTGCTGGGGATCCAGAAAATCTGGAACAGGAGCCCCTAATCCGAAGAGCTAGAAATGGTAAGCACACAGGTCTGCAGCTTCCATCAGATACTCAGAGGGACCCGTGACCCACGACCCGGAGAAGGCTGAAGAGCCCTGGTTTCTTGTAATGAGATCAAAAGGGGCCTGGTGAAGGCGAGTTGGCAGCACAGGCCGAGCCGCAGGGGAGGGTGGGGAAGGGCCCCTGGTGCAAGAGGCCATGAGGAACACCTATGACAGGCACCCCTCACCAGGGCCCACCGGACGCCCTGGGGAGGCATTCCTGAGCGCAGTGAGGGGGCGGAGGGGCGGTGCTGCCGTGCGTGTGCATCCCGTACCTTCTTCCAGAGCAGCAGGGCCGTGACCACGATGCTCAGCACAGTCAGGAGGCCAGTGAAGCAGCAGAGAAGGAGCTTCTGGGGGTCCTGGGGGGGCTCCTGGTACCCCATGTCTAGGAGCGCAGGGAAACAGAGCAGTCAGTTACCCGGGAGAGGTGGGGCACCCCGGACCCCCAAACCCTGTGTTCTCCTTTACCCAGGTCCCCGCTTACAACACCCCCCACAAGAGCCCCCACCTCGCCTCAGGCCCTCACTCCCACACTCGCTTTGGCCAAGCCCCTCTCTGGCGCTGCCGCGATTCTTATTAAGGGCCAGGACCACATCTTTTGCTTCTTGAGTGCCCGACCTCAGTGAACTGGCCCCACTGAGAGCTGCTGAGGGACCCCGGGTGAGTCATTTCATGCCTGGGGCGGGGGGGCTCCTCTTCTCCACAGGTGCAGCAGTGATTACACGGGCAGGCGTGGTGAGGGTGAAGGGACGGGTTCTCACAGGGCATCCTGCAGGGCAGGTGGCTGCTCTGCACCAAGGGTGGGTGAAGGGCACAGCCCAGCCCCTTCCCTTGAGCCATCCATCCTTTCACCCGTCCCTCCATCCATCCATCTGGCTGGCAAAAAATTGAGGAGTGCCAATCACGTGCCAGGCATGCCAGTGTCTGTTATTTACCAAGCCCCCTATCACCAGGCACCTGCCCTTGCGTGCAGGAGCTCCTTCACCCCCGGAAAGGATTTTGGCAGGCAGGGTATTGTCATGAAGACCAGGTCCAATGTCACATCCTGGCGAGCGGCTGAACTGGGGTCCCTGGAGTTCCGAAGCCCCAGCCCTACCAGTGGGAGTCTCAGAGGCAGGTCAGAGAGGCATGGCTTCGGTGATGGGCTGTTCTTAAATTTTGGAGTCAATACTCCTTTGAGAACGTGATAAAAACTAGGAATCTGTCCCCAGAAAGATGTACATGAGCCGAGGGTTCGATCACAGGCCGCCACAAACATGCACGTGCACACGCCCAATTCTGCACTCACCCAACCCCCGCCCTATGTCAAAGGGACTCTGAGACCAAGGGGCCAAGGGACCTCTCTCAGGTCATCTGCTAGAGGTGGCCAGAGGCAGATCCAGAAAGGTGGGCCTTTCCACACAAAGGGGGACGTCTCGGCACACCGGCATGGCCAGGCGCTTCCTGAGGATGCTCTGTTCTGTTTCGCCAAAGCTGAAAGATGAGACAAACATCCCCCACTGTAGATCCTATGCCCCAGACTCTGCTGCATGACACCTCTGGGCCCTTCAGTGGGGGAGGAGGCACGGAGGAAGCCTCACCTCTGACCAGGATGAAGGTGCCGTTGCCTTTCACTCTGGAGCCGGCCCAGGAGATGGAGCAGTAGTAGGTGCCAGTGGCTGATGCGTTGGGCAGCTTGAGGGTGACCCGGCACTCCTGGGTGGAGGTCTGGTTCTCTTTTCCCGGGTTGAGTTGGCAGCCAGTCCGCTTCTCAGAGCTGCTGTGGCCCTGGAGGTCCACGCGATAGTAGTGGACTCTGACGTCCTGCAGTTTGGGGGCGTACGGGTGGGTGATTCTGCAGCCGAAGGAAACAGGCTCGTTGGCCAGTGAGACCACAATGGGAGGGCCAATGTGGATCACTGACTGCCCTCCTGCAGGGGAAGGAAAAGGAGAGAGTGGGGGCTCACTCTCTGGGATGCTCCAATCCCACCTGCTTCCCCGTGAGGACCGTAGCTCACACTCGCACCTCCCGTACACGTGTGTACAGGTGTTGTCCCAAGGGCTTTACACATGACTCTGCACCTCCCAACACAGCCAAGGCAAAGTGTGGAAGAGCTCCATTTTACGCAGAGGAAGAGTCTGAGGGTCAGGGAGGTCAAGCTGCTAGCTTTCAATCTTTCAGCAAGTACCGAGTGGAGCTGCAACCCTGCCCGGGGCTGGAAGACTCCAGACTCCACGCTGCCAACCACTCTCCTTCCCAAAGGCCAAGAAGCTGCATTGGATGAAAACACAGGCCTGAGAAGATTCAAAGCCAGGGAAGGAGGAGAAGCAAAGAGGAAGGAGGCAAGAAACAAAATAAAGAAGCCCTTCCTGGCAGTGGACACACAGAGGGAGGCAGGTCTGCCTGTGGCTCACCCTGGTCTGAAGGAAGAGGTGCGCCAGGCAACGGGACGGACAAACCCTTCCCTGAATCCGAGTTCGGAGAAAAATGTCCAGCTTTATACACTATGACAAGTGACGCCCCGAGAGCAGTTCTCCGACAGCGCAGAGGTGTTCCACATGGAGCCGCCTGACCGTGATGTTCAATGACCAATGACCGTCACAAAGACAGTTCTGCAGGAGCACCCCCCCCCCCGCAACCCGCCCATCAGAGGCACCTGGGAAAACAGTTTGAAAGGCCCCAAAGCAGCAGCTTTCCCAGCTGGGCCTCCCGTCCCCCTGCAGGCTCCTGAGATGCTGGTCAGATTCTGGGCCCGGGTCAGCAGCTGCCACCTCCCCACTCCCAGACTTCAGGGCGCAAGTCCCCTCAGCTTCAATAGGCCCTGTCTACCAGCACCTTCCTTCTCCAGCAGCCGAACAACAGACAGTTCTAAATTGAGGTCGGCAGCGAGCAGCCAAGAACACGCTGGCCAGGTTGTTAATCGGGAGAAGATCATGCGCTGGAGACGCTCGGAGGGAGAGGCAAGATTTATTTTGCTGGGGACGGTGAGGCGTGCGCCTCCCGCCTGCGGTGCCGGGCTGGCATGAGGCCAGGCTGCTTTCTTCTCTGGTGTCTTCAGCTCAGTCCTGAGCTGGATCCCAAGAGGAGGTGAGGCCGGGCCCTCTGGAAGACTCCGGGACAGGGACAGAGACGGCCCTCCACACCCGTTAATCTTTTGAAGTGCTGTTCTCCCTGATATTTTGAGCTTCCTGTTGAGCAACTCAAGAGACAGCCCTTCCCCCCAAAGAACTAAAGGCTCGGGCAGTGCCAGGGCACGACTGGCGTGTCTGGATGTCACAGTGCGTCGGCTCTGTTGTGTGTCACACGTGACGATGCTCCCGTGTGGAGAACCCACTGCCCAGGCCCCGGGCCCCCCTCTAGGGGTGGAGCGGCAGGGGATTTCACGCCACACTCTGTATCTTGGGCTCTGCTGTAGAGTGGCTGTCATTGCCATTGAACTATAACAACACATTAGTTTTGTCATAAAGCCAGGAGCATTGACTCAGGGCTGAGGTTCGTCTGAGGTGTGGCAGGGGCAGGGCGGGGGTGCAGAGGCAAGGGGGAGGTTGTTGCATGCTCCCGCAGGGGCCCAGGTGGGCCACGGAGGACAAGAGGCCACAGGCGTGAGATGAACATTACTCGCCCTGCCCAGCAAGCCCATGCTGCCATCCTACCTGCACACACCGGCCACTTCCTGCTCTGCATCCACCCTGCGTCCCCTCTGCCTGGGGCTTCCACCTCCTCACCTAGCCAACTTCTACTTAGTCCCCAGACTGGGGAACTGCTGCCGACTTCTGTCCACATCCTGCCACGTGGTTCTGGCAGTGGCCTGACCCTGGGTCAGGCTAGTGCTTCCTCGTGAGGGTCAGCGGTTGGAACCCGACCAGAATCCCCAGGGAAGCAGTGGCTGTGCCAGGGCCTGCCCCAAGGCCTCTTCACCTCCTGCTCCTCCTCTCCGTGCATCTAAGAGGCCACCCCAGGCCCGGGGAGGCTGGACGTGCTGTCAGTGCTATGAGACCACCTTCCTGTTTGTCTTGGCAGGAAAACGTTCATCCAATTGTCTTAAAAATTCTCCCCACTTGAGGTATCCCTCTAGAAAATGATGGAATCTGCTAGTGCTATTAAGCCAATCTTTACAATTCTGGGGAAATCTGTAAAAACAGACGACTATTGTTCTGTGTTCTTCTGGAATTCATTATTTTAAGGTGAGAGGGTTAGGATCATGAAAACGCGTGGCCCTGGCTCTGGTCTGACACTGAGAGGAGGACCTCAGACCTTGGATGAAACTGCTATCTCCAGAGTGAAGAGACGAGGCCATCCCTGCAGATCAGAAGGACCGCCAATCTGGAGACAGCAGGCCAAACAGGGAAGAGCGGGGAGGCTGCAGCTGCAGCAAAGGCAATCTGGCCTGATGACGTAGCTAGTTGCTGCCACTGCCCCTTCTTTTTATTGGGGTGTCAGCACCCCAGAGCCTGGACCAAGCAGCCGGGCTCCCACACTCTCTCCTGGACCTGTGCCTCCAAGACACACCTTCTGGGGTGCAGACTGCTCCAGCTGGCTGCTGAGCATCTCCCAGTTAAGGCTCAGTGCTACCGACAGGTCCACAGTAATTTCCGAGTCCACGAATTCTTTCCAGCTGCCATTTGTTTGTGCCTCCAACAAACCTTTAAGGGGTACCAGCTAGGTCACAGGCCCCATCCAGGACCTGGAGGGGCTCCCTGCCCTGGCAAGGTCCACAGTCTAACAGGGAAGTCTGGCGGGCAGGGCAGGGAACCACTAATTCCGTGTGGGAAGAGGCATGCTGGTGACCTGGGGGTCTGGAGGTCATCAGTGAACTGCCAACAGGAACACACATGTCCAGTGGGGCTGAAATGGCCCAAGGACAGAGGGGGAACAAATGTATAGAAAACACACTCTGGCTGGGTGTGACACTGGCCCTCTGTCAACCAGACACCACGACAATCCCATAAGGCAACTATCATAACCCCATTTTGCAGACAAAAAAAATCAGAGGGTCTTAGAGGCCCAAAGCCATGAGTTCCTATGCGGTGGAGGTGAGATTTGGACCCCAGTTGGTCTGACTGTACTGAGGAAGAAGAGCCAGCAGGCACCCTGGGCGTTGGAGTCAGAAACCCGGCCAAGTGAGACTGTGCGGGGCTAGGAGTGTGCTTGGTGGCACCAAGCACAGGAGATATCAGTTGCTAAAGAGAGGGGTTCGTCAGACTCTGGCAGAAGTCACGGACTTTCCCAACTGGAGGCTGACAGTGGCTGCATGGCAGAGGGCAGGGGTGAGGAGGGGACCTAGATAAAACCGAGGGGCGCCCAGCCTGCCCTGCGTGTGCCTGCTTCTCACCCTAGACCCAGAGGGGCTTCAGCGGGACCCTCACAGAGCTTGAGGCTTGTCCCCTGAGTGCCACAGGATTGGCACAGTGGCTGATGTCTGTCTTGCACCCAGTGATGGCTGCATCACGCTTTGTCCCTTGTTCAGGCAAAGGGAGTGTGTCCCCAGGCGAGAAGGAGGGCAGGGCAGAGAGAGTGGGCCTGGGATCCTCTTAGATTCATGGGCTGCCAAGAGGGGCGAACGGCCCAGGGAGGAGGACTGGGGGCAACCCCGGATTCCTGGGGCTGAGGTGGGACGGAGAGCCACCGGAGCCCGGCTGGCACACCCTGGTGGGAGCTGCCGGGTGGCCCAGGAAAGTGCCCGAGGGAGTCCACTCCAGACCCTGCCAGCACCCAGATCATGGGGCCACCTGTCCGCAGCAGCTGGCCGTAGGGCTCTCTGCCCCGCCCGCTCTTCCCCCTCCCCTGCTTCCACCCAGCTGACGTGTGGCGAGGGGCCCAGAGGCGCTCACCCCGGTCTCTCACACGGAACCCAGCTGGCCGCTCTGGCGTGAATCAAGTTCAGGATTTGGGCAGTTACTTGGGGCTGGAGATTTGAAGATCTGGGCCTTGTTTGTGACTGTAAGTGACCACAGAACACTGAGTGACCGGAGCAGCCTAGACCAGCCCGCTTTCCCTCCAGGCGGTGGGGGAATCTCCCCACTCTGAGAGGTACGGGCAGCGGGAGCAACATGAAGTTCTGTAGGATAATTCTCCAGGAGGCCTGCGCCTTCTCGTGCTGGCCGGCCAGACAGGCACGGGAAGGAAAGCTCTTCAAGGAGCCTTGAGTGTTCTATTGAGTGGGTGGACGGATTGATTTGATGGGCAAAAGGGAGAGGGGCCTGGAGTGCAGGTCGGAAGAGGAAAGGAGGGGGCAGCAGGGCAGGGAGAATTTGAAGGCCGGGTCCAGGAGAAGTGTTTCTGGATGGGAGGAGTGTGAGCCTGCGTGAATGCAGATGGTGCAGCCCTGGTGGGGGAGGTCCACAGCGGGTGGGAGAGGCCAGGGAGCAGGGACAGTCAGAGACGGGATTGGGAAACAGTCACAGCATGCTGTCTGGGAGGGCCCGCTCCCGAGGGCCACCACCGGAGCCCAGCCCTGCCCCAGAGCTTGGCTGCTTACTGTGCATCTCCTGGTCCTCCTCCCGCCCCACCTCCCGCCCCACCTCCCCCCAGCTGCAAGCACGATCAGTTCCATTGGGCAGCCCAGGCCGCGACTAAGCCCCACCCACCCACCATGCCCCGCCCACCCCACCGTTAGAAGAGATTGTGTTTTCAGGGATGGCACATCCTTGACCCCTCACTTCTGTGCAGTTTCAGGGACTGCTAGGAATTCTTGGGGTGGGCCAGAAATAGGGGTAGGGGGTGCCTGGGAGAAGCCCAGTTTCTGGAGACAGGAGGCCTGGGTTTGTGTCCTGGTTCTGCTGCTCAAAGACCGTGCAACCTTAGGCAGGTGGCTTTACTTCTCTGAACCTCAGCGTCTTCCCCACTACATGGGGAGATTAACAATACTAACCTTACAGGGTCGTCACGAAATTAAATGAGGCCGGGAACACAGCGTGCCTGCCACAGGGCCAGGCTGCCTTTTCCCCAAGACAAAAACGAGGCAGGGAAGTCAGCCCATCCTGAGTCCTCCTGGGAGTCTAGAAAGGCAAATGCCAGCCTGACTCTTCCAACTGCATAAGTGACAGGCCCATGGCGCAGGGCGCACGCAGCACGGAGTGGCCTCTGGGCATGACAGGACCCCGGGGGCCAGCCCTCCTTCCCTGACCAAGCCTGTCTACCGACTTGGGTCCCATGCAGGGCTGGACACAAGGGAACGGGGGACGCCCTGGGGCACAGACCTCGGGTGTGGCCCTCGAGCGTGGCCCTCGAGCGCCCCTGACTGGTGAGCTGCGTGTGGCAGGGGCTCTGAGCTGAGAGCCCTCCCCCAGCAGCCCCCTCCTGCTCTTCCCCATCTTGCTTGTCTGTTGCCCTTGTTGGGAAAGACTTTGTCTACCACCCTGATTCCTTCCTTTTCCAGTTCTTCTTTTGAATCTGTGGCCGCTTGAACTGTGGGTTTGAGAGCTGGTTGGAGGTACCCTACTCCCACTCCTGGCCTGGGGACCCCGTGCTGAGTCCCTGTGGGGAGAGATTTGCAATCAAGGAACTTGACTGGGTGTGTGGAGGGGTGCTCACCCCATCTGACCTCCCCACCTCAGCTCAACACCCCACTTCCACCTCGACAGCTCCGGAATCCAGCTTCCTCCCCTCCCCAGCTAGGGCCCGCCTGGCGCTGCCCTGGGGGAGCCACAGCCATCCTGCTGTGCCCTCCCTGGCCCCGCTGGGCACCCCACCAGAGGAGGAGACCCAAGAAGGAGTCTGAAATCAATTTACAGGGTCAAGACAAGCAGTTAAAAAAAACAGAACATGGAGCATTTCATGAGTAGTAAGGGCATGTTCGTGACTTGGATTCAATTATATTCATACAACTGAGTTCAGACAGGGTCGCGCTATAATGTGCATCCCTTAACTTTGGGCCACCGTTAAAAAACAATTGATAGCCCCTGGCCTAGATGACCCAGTCCACGCTCCAGGCCCTCGCAGACCAGCTCAGTTGCCCTCAGCCCTCGGCTCACCCCCCACCAGCGCCAGGCCTACCTCGAACCTTTGTTGGTGCTATTCCCACTGCTAGGAATGCCCTGCTGTTCCCTGCCTCTCCCCAGGCTGTGGGGTCACCCTCTCGGTCTGCAGGACTTGCTCACCTCCTCCCTGAGCCCCTCCTGGGGGCGCGGCCCTGCCTGCCCAGAGCAGACTCTCAGGCATCAC